GTTCTCAAGGTGTAGTCCACAGACCACTTGAGGATCTCCAAGGTCAAAACTATTTTTTATAATAATACTGTTTTTCATTTTTCACAATGTTAACATTTGCAGTGATGGTGTAAAAGCAATGATGAGTAACACTGCTGTGCCTTAGTACAAATCAACGCAGTGGCACCAAACTATACTAAAATACTATATTCTTTGTCATGCACTTACAGTTCAAAAAAAAAATTTTTAAGTCAGTTTCAATTAAGAAGATCATTAATGTAGGACGCCTGAGTGGCTCAGTCAGTTAAGCATCCGACTATCGGTTTTGGCTCGTCATGATCTCATGTTTCGTGGGATCAAGCCCCACGTTGGGCTCTGTGCTGACAGCTCAGAGCCTGCTTGGGATTCTCTCTCTCAGCCCTTCCTCAGCTTATGCACGTTCTCTCTCTCAAAATGAATAAACATTCAAAAAAAAAAAAAAAGAATATCATTGATGAAGCAGTAAAAAGTACTAATTTTATTAAATCTTGGGACACTGAGTACATGTATTTTTTACATTCTGTGTGACAAAATGGGAACTGTGCATAAAGCACTTATGTATACCAAAATATGATGGTTTTTAGAGGAAAAGTGCCTGTGTAACTGAGTTATGAGTTGAATTACCTGTTTTCTTCATAAAACACCATTTTTACTTGAAAGAACAATGGCAAACTATAATTATTTAGACTTGGGTATTTGGCATTTTCTCAAAAATGAACAAAATGAATTTGCCACTTCAAGGAAAACAAACTGACAGTATTTGCTGCCAATGATATAATTTGAGCTTTCAAGCAAAAATTAACTTTTTGGAAAATTTGTATCTGCCACTATTAGTTTAACAGCTTTCCAAATCTTAAAGACTTTTCTGATGAGATCAATAGTGATTTTAAGGAACGTGATTCTGGGGTGCCTGGATGGCTCAGTCGGTTAAGCATCCAACTGTTGATCTCAGCTCAGGTCACAATCTAACGGTTTGTGGAATCAAGCCCTGCATCAGCCTCTGCACTGACAGCACAGAACCTGCTTGGGATTCTCTCTCCCCCCTCTCTCTGCTCCTCCCCCACTAGCACGTGCGTGCTCTCTCTCTCTCTCTCTCTCTCTCTCTCTCAAATCAATAAACTTTAAAAAAAAAGGAATATGATTTTTTTCTAGTGTATGATTGAAAGGTGTTAACATTTGGAAGATATGCATAACTCAGTGAATCAATAGTTTCCAAATGACGAATGCATAATATTACATGAGGAAGGAATCCAATGGACAGACCGATGGATTTGAATGGAACAGAGTACAACAGCTTCATTGATGTGCTTTCATATTCCACAATCAACTAACCTTTCAGAAACTACCAGTTGTCAAGTTTTAATGGACTATCACAGAATATCCCTAATTATGTGAAAAAGTTTTTAAAGTGTTTATCTCTTTTCCTAGTACATATCTGTGAGGCTTTTTCTTCATATGCTTCAATCAAAACAACATATCAAAACAGACTGAATACAGAAGCAGATGAGATCCAAATGTCTTCTATCAAGCTAGACTACAAAGAAGCTTGCAAAGATGCTACTCTTTTCACTACATTTATTTTTTAAGGTTATTTTTCAGAAGATATTAATTTGAGACAAAATATAATAGGTTTGCTACTGTTACTTTTACATGAATCAATCAATAAATATTAAGAGTATAAAGGAGTCCTCTGACTTAAAAGTTTGAGAACCACTAAAACCTCATAACTACTCTGGGAAGTAGACAGAACTGGTTTAATCTGCTTTTTATAGACAAATAAATAGATTTGGCAGAGTTAGGCAACTTGCTTTGGTTTCCAGAGCACTGTTCACAATCCTGACTACAGGCAAGAAACACATGGAAGGCTTTAAAAATATCCACTAATTGTTCTGGGATGGGGCACAGGCATTTTTTTTTCTAATATTTCTTTATTTTTTTTGAAAGAGACAGAGAGACAGCACAAGCTGGGGAGGGACAGAGGGATGGGAGACACAGAATCGGAAGCAGGCTCCAGGCTCCGAGCTGTGAGCACAGAGCCCAACACGGGGCTCGAACTCATAAATCATGAGATCATGACATGAGCTGAAGTCAGACACCCAACCAACTGAACCACCCAGATGCCCTGACATTTTTTTTTAAGGTCCCAATGATTCTCATGTGCAGCCTAAGTTAAGAGCCACTGTCCTAGAGATTAACAGGCAAATACATAATTAGGTTACAAGCCTCACAAACACCAATCTGATGAACAAGTCTACAAACTACATTTTCTTTTATATTTAAACCACATCAGTGTAGTTCCTGAATCCACAGAAAGATCAAACAAGGTTTTTTGAAAAATTCTACCAGACTTCATTTTACTTACAGAATTCTTGCTTTGCCACTCAACAGGACAGTTGTAATCATGCATGATCCAGGGATGGCTCAATAGATTTTTCACAGAAATCCGTTTCTTTGGGTCCACCTAGTGGCCATTGAGAAGTAGCTAGAGGTTAACATTTCCAATAGGGAACACAGAACTCCTTTACTCCTGAGAACTCAAAATTCATCAGAACAGATGTAAACTTTATCATCACAAAAATGCTGTCAAAGACCTTAAAATGGCCTTGGAATAAATTCTTTAAAAAAGGCAATAGAGGCAAGAAAACTATAGCAACCAACACGGGCTTAGAAGATAAATGTTTAACAAACATGAACTTCATTGGTATGGACATTATTCATGAAGTTCAGTCAATCTATTGTATGATGTAATAGTCTTTGCTGGAAAACCTATTCACAGGAAATATTCACCAATTTAATATTCAAGCAGCCACAATGCAGGGCATTCATAGTGAATATGCAATCTCTACCTCTGATGAGCTTACAATCACATAGAACAAGTTGAAAAGCACACCTTTCTTTTCCATTTGTAATTTTCAAATGTGAGGAGAGGAGAATTAATCAACAAAGATTAAGTTTTTTGGAGTCCAGAAGAAAGATGAGGTGTTTTCAATCTCATTATGGAGATTTGGTGGTCTGGCCCTACTTAATCAAGGTGGGTGAGCCTGAAGTAAATTTTGAATAAAAACTGGAGATGGCTTAATAGATGGAAAAACTGGAAGATATTCTGAATACATAATAATGAAAAAAATATTGCACTAATAAGGTACTCCTATTTTCAAAGTGTTTCCTATTTATCTCATTTTACCCTCATAACACTACATAGTAGTAAGGCCAGTGTCAGAATCCCCATTTGACAGATGAGAACCAGGTTAGTGGCATGCCTACTGATTGCCAGGGTGGATACCTAGACCTCAGAAGCCATTCCCCTAAATCAGTGGTTCTCAAAGTGTGGTCCCAAGACCAGCAGCATCAGCAGCATCTGGTAGCTTGTTAGAAAGGCAAATTCCTAGTCCTGCCCCAGATCTACTGAATCAGCCACTCTCTCAGGGTGGCACCTAGCAGTCTGTGTTTTAACAAGCCCCTGGCAATTCTGATACGTGCTAAAGCTTGAGAATCATCGCATTAGTTCATAGGGTCCACTTGACTGTGTATCAGCTCATTCAAGCATTTATTCCCTATCTACTATACACTTAATGTGCAAGAGCGGGAGCAAGAAAATGGAACACGGTGGTCGAGTTAGTCAGAGAAAACAGACAATGCTCAAGAAAAAGGAAGGAAAACCACATCAGCAAAGACATGGCAGAGGTCTAAAAGAAAATGCATTTGCAACATAATTAAGAAAACATCTAACTTAAAAAAATAATAATAAAAATACATTTTCAAAAAGGGGCACCTGGCTGGCTCAGTTGGAAGAGCATACAACTCTTGACCTCGGGGTCATGAGAGTTCGGGCCCCACACTGGGTATAGAGATTACTTAAATAAATAAAACTTTAGAATAAATAAAAAGAAAAGAAAGCATCTAGTAGAGGGCAGTAGATATACTGAATGGAATTTTTTTAAGCCAATAGGAAAACGGTGTTGTCTTCCAAATACAGCAGCACCACAGACATCTTAAAGTTGGATCAAACAACTGCAGTAGACTTCTATTATTTAAATATAAATAACAAAGTTTACCTGTAGCATCTGTTGAAGAAGCAGAACGCTACTAGAAGAGAGCCACTTAGGAACCTCATATTTTCCTCGCTACAAAAAAACAAAGAAACAGTTAAGAGATTTAGGTTCAATCAGCCTTGAAATAAATTTCTAAGTAACAAAATGCTGGAGGTGTACTTCCAAGCTTAAAGACTTAACCCAACTATAAGATTTGGTAAACATTATTAACAACATAGGAAATATATTTCTTACCCTAAAGAAGAAAATTCAGTAAATTAAATATCATCCCCTCTAAATTATCCACATATCAGAGAAGGACTAGAGCAGAGAGAATGTATGGAATACATAAATGTGGAGGGCTTTGGAATCTGTAGTGTGATTAAATGGACAACAAGTATACATTGTAGTCAATTTTTGCATTGCTAGAGCAAATTTTAGTTCATAATCTCAGAACAATTATCAGTTGACAAAAATGAAGTAGTAGAAAATAGTATTTGGTGGCAAGTCATAGGCTGTGGTTAAAAACAGGTCACATTTCATCCACAGGACAGAATTCACAATGAGGGAAACTGACGCAAGCCATTTTCTAAGCCAAGTACCTTCTTTGGGGATCGAAGAGACTCAGGAGACAAATGTTTACAATCTAGGATAATCAGAAATTATAGGCACCAAGTCATCAGCCAAAGATAAGACAAGGGGCTTGCCAAACACTAATATGTAATAAAATATCTTTTTACACAACTTGCCACATACCCCTCTTTCCCAATTCAGAGGCAATGATACAATCATTTCTCTTAGCAAAGAACAAATTGTTTAATGATGCTAGAATAAAAGGTTAAGTATTTGAAAAAAATTAAGATTTGGAGGCGCCGCCATTTTTGCTGCCCAGACACGGAGCGAGAGGCTGAGAGAGTTGGAGACACTATCTGCTTCCATCCGTCGCGCAGACCCTTCCGGAACCACTTCCGTTACGGATAATCTAATCGGGAGGATCTGGTGTACCAGGCGAAGCTGGCAGAGCAGGCTGAGCGATACGACGAAATGGTGGAATCAATGAAGAAAGTAGCAGGGATGGATGTGGAGTTGACAGTTGAAGAAAGAAACCTCCTATCTGTTGCATATAAAAATGTGATTGGAGCCGGAAGAGCTTCCTGGAGAATAATCAGCAGCATTGAACAGAAAGAAGAAAACAAGGGAGGAGAAGACAAACTAAAAATGATTCGGGAATATCGGCAAATGGTTGAGACTGAGCTAAAGTTAATCTGTTGTGACATTCTGGATGTACTGGACAAACACCTCATTCCAGCAGCTAACACTGGCGAGTCCAAGGTTTTCTATTATAAAATGAAAGGGGACTACCACAGGTATCTGGCTGAATTTGCCACAGGAAATGACAGGAAGGAGGCTGCGGAGAACAGCCTAGTGGCTTATAAAGCTGCTAGTGATATTGCAATGACAGAACTTCCACCAACGCATCCTATTCGCTTAGGTCTTGCTCTCAGTTTCTCCGTATTCTCCTACGAAATTCTTAATTCCCCTGACCGTGCCTGCAGGTTGGCAAAAGCAGCTTTTGATGATGCAATTGCAGAACTTGGATACGCTGAGTGAAAAAAGCTATAAGGACTCTACACTTATCATGCAGTTGTTACGTGATAATCTGACACTATGGACTTCAGACATGCAGGGTGATGGTGAAGAGCAGAATAAAGAAGCGCTGCAGGATGTGGAAGATGAAAATCAGTGAGACATAAAAGCCAACAAGAGAAACCATCTCTGACCACCCCATTCCTTCCCATCCCACCCCCATTGGAAATTCCCCCATTGTCACTGAGAACCACCAAATCTGACTTTTACATTTGGTCTCAGAATTTAGGTTCCTGCCCTGTTGGTTGTTTGTTTTTTGTTTTTTTTTAACCATTTTCAAAAGTTCATAAAGGCAAGAGTGAATTTCTGTGGATTTTACTGGTCCCAGCTTTTAGGTTCTTTAAGACACTAACAGGACTGCATAGAGGCTTTTTCAGCATTACTGTATTGTCTCCTGCCAGGTGGGGCAAGATCACCATTAGAAATGGAAATGATATTTGAAAGCTATTAGACTTCTAGGTGACGTGAGCATCTAAGAGAGAGGTTAATCACACTATGAGGCATTGTGGTATTATTTTTCCTTTTTCTAATTGTTTAAATTGAGTTTTATACCAATGTTTAAAATTAATTGGGTGTTAGCTTGAGGTGGTTAAAAGTTGTTCGGAGAGTTGTAATGGTTTTGCTGTAAAAAGTGTTTCAAACTCTGCTGAAATGTTGCTGAAAAGCATGGTGCTGGTAACAGTTCAACAATCCGTGGCTGCTCATTCCTGCCTACTTTTACTCTCCCTCTAAAGCAGGTTAGCATTGAAGGTGGTATGGAAAAGCCTGCATGCGTGTTCAATTCTTTGTTTCTTCTCCTTCCCTCTCCCCCCAGGGCCCCGCCTTCCCTACTTCGCTCGCTCAACCTCTTTTGTTCAGTATGTATAACTTGAAGCTAATTTGTACTACTGGATATCTGACTGGAGCCACAGATACAGAATCTGAATTGTTCTTACTGAAACACAGCATGGAATTAACATTAAACTTAAATAAAACAAACCTAAATTAAAAATGCCAAAAAAAATTAAGATTTTAATTAAGCTTATACCAAAATTAACTCCATCCAGATTAAAGAGTGAATGCAAATACAAAACCATAGAGGATCAAGACTAGGTGATTATTTTTAGAATCTTTCTAAACATGACCGCAAAACCAAAACCTGTAAAGACTAACAGTTGACATTTCTGTACAACAAAACAGCACTAACAAAGTTAACTAACAACAAATTGAGGAAAAAAAACTTTTTCCACCTAAATGACTAAATATTAATAAACTTCATCACATAAAAAGCTCTTTACAAATCACTAAGATTTTACCAGCCAACCTGTTCTGCCCACATTTCCCCCATCTCCTCAAATGGCCAAAAACCAGAGTCATCTTTAACTCCTCTTTCTCTCACACTTCACATCATCTCCATCAGCAAAATCCATTGGTTCTATGTTGGAAAATCTATCCAGAATCACTTGTCACTTCCACCACACCACTAGTGTCTCCCATCTGGCATATTGCAAGAGGCTCCTGACTGATCTTCCAGATTCCACTACTGACCACCTCCCAGTCTAGTCTCCACTTACTACCACCAATGTTCTCTTAAAACATCTCTTAAAATATGCCACTTCACCACTCAAAACTCTTCAGTGCTCCCCCAGATCACTCAGAATAAAATCCAAATACCTTACTCTGGTTCCAAAGCCCTGCATGCATGCTCTACATCCCCACATCCATTCAACTCCTTGCTGCTGAGTCTGCCTCTCAGACTCGCCTCCTAACTCTCCCCTTCATTCACCAAACTATGGTCACATGTCAAACACAGTCCAACCTCAGGGCCTTTGCACTGGTTATCTCCTCTGTCTTACAATGCTTTCCCCCAAAATCAGCAGAGCTTTTGCCTTTAGCTTCAGGTCTCCACTTATATACTAGTGGTGTCAGTGAGGACTCCCATGACCCATTTCATAACACAGCATCCCCCACAATCATTTGCTACCTCCCTTTCATGCCTACTTTACCTTCAGTCCTTATCCCCACTCATCGTATTACATATTTGTTTATTTTCTGTCTCACTAAAATAGAATGTAAGCTCCTTAATCACAGAGATCTTATCAGGGCTGCTCACAAAGAATACTACCTGGTCCTGGCACAGAAAAGGTACTCAATTAATATTTGTTTAATAAATGAAGGAAGAGGATGAAAAGCACACTCCAAAGGAAAATGAGCAATAACTATTCACAGGTAATTCCTAAAACAAGAACTTTTAAATGGCCAATAAACATGAAAATATGTCCAAATAATCAAGTAATTAAAAAGTAATAATTTAAACAAGAATATGGTACCATCTGTTATCTATCAAACTGGCAAACTTAAGAAAAACATTTAGTATTACTAAGAGTTCAGGAACAAGAGGGCTTATATATATACAACTAGAGAATATAAGCTTTCCCGGAGAATAATTGTGAAATACATTTAAAAAACATTCAAAACTGCATATCCTTGATCCAGCAATTTCACTTCTAGCAATTTATCCTAAGCAAACAATTTGGTATATAAAATATATGAACAGTAACATTCATCACAGAATTGCTTATGATAATTTTGGGAACTAAGGGACATAGACTACTGGCAAATTCTAGAGGGTCACCAAAACTAATGACAGAAGACAAAATGTACTGAATAAGGATCCTGAGTTAGAGGGGCACCTGAGTGGCCCAGTCAGTTGAGAGACCGACTTCAGCTCTGGTCATGATCTCACAGTTTGTGTGTTCGAGCCCCACATCAGGCTCTGTGCTGACAGCTTGGAGCCTGGAGCCTGGTTCAGATGCTGTGTCTCCCTCTCTCTCTGCCCCACCCCCGCTCATGCTCTGTCTCTCTCTCTCTCTCAAAAAATGAATAAATGTCAAAAAAAAAATTTTTTTAAAGGATCCTGAGTTATATAATATACAAGAGCACCTGGGTGCCTTAGTCATTAAGCATCTGATTTCGACTCAGGTCATGATCTCACGATTCATGAGCTCAAGTCCCACATCCGGTGAGTTTGATCCCCAGTTCGGGTAAATACAAGCCCGCTTCAGGTGAACCCCACTTCTCTCTCTCTCTCTCTCTCTCTCTGCCCCTCACTCACTTACGCCCTCTCTCTCTCTCCCAAAAAAAAAAAAAATGAAATAAATATGATATACATCCAGGGAGACAAAGGCAAGCACACATGAACATGCACGTGCGTGCATAAAGCCTAGTGTTTAAATAAGGCTAGAAGAGTAGAGGCAGGTAGATGGAGAAGCCATTGACTAGCACAAGCATTGGGGTTCTCTGTTCTTATAAGGACACAATCCTCACAGAAACCAGCCCAACTCCAAGGTAAGAGGAGAAACAGACACAATATGGGTTGCTCAGAGTCCTAGAACTACATGGCAGGCTGGATTTTAATTGTATTAAAGAAATAATCAAAGTTCCAAAGAAGCATTATCAAGCAATAAATTTTAAAAGAAAAGGTATCGATGGGGCACCTGGGTGACTCAGTCGGTTAGGCATCCAACATCAGCTCAGGGTTCCTGGGTTTGAGCCCCACATCGGGCTCTGTGCTGAAGCTCTCTCTCTCGGATTCTGTCTCCCTCTCTCTCTGCCCCTCCCCAACTCGTGCTCGCTCTCTCTCTCTCTCTCTCTCGCTCAAAAATAAACAAACATTAAGAAAAATTTTTTTAAAAAAAGAAAAGGTGTCAATGTCAAAACAACTCAGTCTCTGACTCAGCTTCTCTGATTAGAGCAGAGAGGCTAACCTTACAAAGTGTTTCCCAGGAAGGATAAGAGCTTTCTTTCATTTTACAAATGACATTTAATATCATTAAGTTTTTCAAGATCCTTTGTCCAGCACACTCAGTATCATCCAGAGAGCCCACTATTACTTACACCTTACTAGGGCACCTTAACACTAGCCAGTGTTGAAAACTGACAATCTGTTTCCAAATTACATTGATAAAGACTTTCATTCACTCCTTGCTCCATGCCACCTGGTCTCCAGGCGCATCCCTAGGAAGTGGGGATTTTTAGCTGCTTCTGCCAACTCTCTAGGACTGAGCAGTAAATCAATCGCTGTGGGACTGGCCCTGACCTAGTTGGTCCCACCCTCATGCCTGAGCTTTTCCTTATTCCTGAGACCAAGGCCTCTCATGATTCAAATCCTGGGTGTCTTAACTTGTTCTCTTTCTTAACAACCTGATCATTTGCCTGTTCTCTCAAACAGTTTGGCTTGCTCTTGCCATTGTCCTAAAGAAAGTAGAGACCAGCCTAGGGTAAAGATTCTCCTATCTGCTTACACTGATCAAATAAATGGTTTTGACATAGCTGAATCTCTGATCACAACCTGTTCCTAGATATCCTCTGTCATGCTTCACTCACTGGTCAGAACCCCCATGTACTCTGGTGGGTCTCCCCTCAAGCTGGTTGTGGAGCCTTTTGCTGCTTATTCCCTGGATACCATCTGCACTGGGTTAAATGCTGCTCCTCAAAACACATGTCCACTCAGAACCTGTGAACGCATTTTTATTTTAAAATACAGTCTTTTGCAGATGTAATTAAATCCATATGAGGTCATACTGGGTAGGAGTAGACCCTAAATTCAGTATGACTGGTGTCCTTATAAAGAAGAAAATCTGGACACAAAGACACAAACACACAAGGAAGTAGGCCGTGTGAAGACAGAGGCAGAGACTAGAGTGATGCGTCTACAATTCAAGGACTTCCAAAGATTGCCAGAAAACACCAGAAGCTAGAAAGAGGCCAAGAAGGATTCTCCCCTGGAACCTTCAGAGAACATGGCCCTATCGACACCTTGATTTGGACTTCTAGCCTCCAGAACTGTGAGAGAATAAATTTTTGTTACTTTAAGGCACTACCTTGCAGTGCTTTGTTACAACAACCCTAGGAAACTAATACACCATCTATAAGGGTTTAACTCCTCGCATACTTCTCTCCCACCAGCACCTGCCCACCCCGGGGATAAGTCTGGTTCTAGGTTCTGGCCCTTTCTGGTCTGCTCCAACACAGATAATAGGCCCATCACCAGATCTATCAAAATAAAAGAAATGTTATGACTTTAAATTCAGAAAGTACCTTCCA